ATAGATATATATATAGATATATATATATAGATATATATATATATATATATAGATATAGATATAGATATAGATATAGATATATATATATATATATATAGATACACACACACATACTGTATACAGCCATGTAAGCAAGGGGTTTGTGAACTGTGTTACTGTAAATGCCGCATGTTTTTTCGCTGCATTACAATAAAGTCTATGAAGGCTTCTGTACTGTCAGAGAAGAAAAATCATCCCTCTGCCTTTTTTGCATTAGATTAATCTCTGTATGATCCGTTAATGTCAGCTTAAACCAAAAAGAAGAAGAAGAAGAAGAACTGAAACATAATGTGTTCATTACAGCTGAAAATGTTTCAGGGTGGATTGTTCCTTTAATTACAGGGCAACATGCCAGAAGAAGCAGTTGGTCATATATCATATGTCGGTTGGAGGGTGCTGTGATCATATGGGGAGGTGCAGCATATGGTGGTACAGACGCAGAGGATATGGGAACAGATCTATCTCCATAGGATGGATAATGGAAAGTGTTTGTTTCCCATAATGCATTACTGTTGGAAAAGCTGTGATCTAAAAATACAACAGTCACAGTGTGAAAGACACAGGGGAGGTGTGGGGGCAGTCAAAGATCACACTGACCTATGTCAGTGGCTCGGGCAGGCATGGGTCTCCTCCACTGAGTGACAAACTTGTAGGCGTCAAGACGAATCTCGATAATGTTGTTGAGGAGAGCCAGGAGAGGAGCCAGCGGGAATGCTGCTACAAAGATGGTAGTGAAGCCAAACTGGAGAACTGCAGTGGAAAGATCGTCTCAACTTTGGCTCAGATAATGGACATGCTTTGATTTATTTATCTTCCCTCTTCAGACAAATATAATACTAAAAAAAGAATGTAATGTTTCACCCATTTCAAGGTATTCGTCCACCAGTCCATGGGCGTTCATCGGCTGCAGATTCCAGTCTTTGTCCCACTGTGGAAGCTGGGCTTTATTCTCTACATTTTGCCCTCCACCACCTCCTTTTTTCATCTTCCTACGAGACCACCAGTTCTGCAGCAAACTGAAAACGTAGCAAGTAGCTAACTGTCAACTCAAAGCAATTATTTCTGACAATTCACTGAGCCCTGCAGGAAGCCTTTTACTAAGCCCCACACAAGAAGATTTGATGTGTTTCTGCAGGAGAAAAGCTTTTTCATCTGCTAATCAGCTAAAGGACCAAAAATACAGAAATGACATAAGGTTTGTAAAATGCCAATCACATCAATTTACAGCATTAAGTAATAAATGTGGCATTTCTAATAGTTCATAGAGAAAGAATGATTATAATAAAATGTTGCTTACGGATAACCGAGCTCCATGAAGTTGTTCCAGATTTGTTTGAAGAACATGATGAATCCCATTTGCAGGCAGAGATCAATCAAACAGCCACTCGGGTGACACTGAGAAAAATGTTTAAATAACAAAAGTGTAACATCCAATTGTGTTTTATGATCATTAAATTCAAAATCCCACTAATTATGTGAGAGATTAATGGTTCACAGGCAATCATGTAAAAGATGACTTAGGTGACAATTTTAAATATATGCTAAAACAGAAGGCAATAATCAGCCCACTTATGACGATGCCTAATTGTACTCACCTCCTCCAGTCTCCATCGATTAAAGAGTTTATTGTATTTTCCAGGCCTGCCAGCAAACCTGAACAGATTAACATTGGCAACATTAGCTGCAAAATTCAACCAGAGAAAAACGAATAAAGTCTACGCTGGAAAGAAAAAAAGACACTTAAGGTGCTAATTATGTCCGATAAACAACAGCGTGGTTACATTTCAAGTCAAGGCAGCTGAAACATGAGTTCCAAAAAATAACTGTACAGTGAGGAGGGAAAGGAAAAGAGTCTTGGCAGATGTCATGACATGGTTTGAAACAAAACATCTTTCCACAATCGCTCATTAAATTAACTGTAAACAGGAACTTTAGAGTTCATGGCAGGCAGCCTACCTTCCAAGAAAGAAAGCGATGTAAAATGTGGAGCTGTTCAAATTCACAAACTGGAACAGGAACATCTTCAGAGAAAAGCTGTTCTCCCACTCGGAGTCTGTCCGTGGGTGCTCTGAACGAGGACAAACAGGGGTTGTTTGGGGTGGACAAGGGAGAAAATCAATGCTTGGGAGCCAAGAAATAATGAAGGTGTAGATGCCTGCAGCATGTGGACAACGCTCACCTAAATTTGTCAGCAGATAGGCCACCTTTTCATACACCTGGCAAGATGATAGTACTCGTAAGCATCAATAGGGAAAAGGTTGAGGAAGATAATGATCATGAAAACAGGAATCTCAGCAATAAAACCCACAAAAAGTCTTTCTGGCTGTGGATATGAAATTTCCTGGAACAAAGTTCTAAGTAAATGTTTCATGAAACATTTATTGGACAGAATATGTAAACGTGCCAGATGATGCTTGTCCAGACACCCACCATGTTGAGAGACATGATGATCATAAAGTTGATGCAGACGCCAGTGAGAGAGGTGGCAAACTGCCAGTTCTTCTTCACAAAATACCAGGTGACGGAAGCAAACTGCTCCATCGCGATGAGACGGAAAACCACCACGGCAAACACTGCGGTCAGAACAAGGGAAATCTAAGCAGAGATGATGGACAGAAGGAAGCATAAAGTACAGGATGTCATATGCAGGTGTAGAGATTTTTATCTTATAATGAACTACGATGCTACCTATTAACTATTCAGGTCAACAAAACACTCATCACTTAAATGTAATCAGTCAACAGGAGAAATTACACCATCAGAAACGCCAAATCTAGTATTTCCTCTCAATACTGTTTTCATCCAGCAGGGGGAGATGTCAAGCCACTGCCTGGCACTTCAGACACTGAATCCCAAAAGGGGAGATTATTCAAAGATCAAAGGGTTTACCATGAAGAATATTCCGGACACAGACACCATGAGCCGGCTGAGTTTGTCTGAGAAGGGCTGGAAAGGCTCGGGCTTGCCAGAGATGGGGTTAACTCTCTCCACCCTGGAGTACTTGGCTTCAAACTGAGGCCTCAGCTCCTCCTGATTCACAACACACAATCCAGTATGAGCGAATGAGCTGTGTATTCTTCTTCTTTTCAGGTAATAAGAGTCAACTTTAAGACGTGCTGCAAGAACCAAAATTGAGTGGTAATGAAATGATGTCGGATCCATTTGAGGATATTGCTGACGTACCTCCTCCTCCTCCCAATCGATGAGATCCCAGTCATAAGTCAGTTCTGCCCTCCTCCTTTTCCAGAACTCCAGGAATACTGTGGCTGCAGAGGGGATCAGGAATCAATCACATTATTGATCAACTTTGATATGTATCACACCGTATGATTGATAATCGTGTGACTGCAGAGGGCCATTCACCGTGGAGACAGTGCAGAACCAAACACCATATTGCGGCCAGATAAATAGGCTTTACTTGTTCAATGCATCAACCCAAAGTCATGTCTTCTTCGTCAGGCAAGCTCCATTTTGTGTTAAAAGTGAAACTTTCTGTGGGCAGAATTCACTCTGGAGGCAGTGTTTCCTTTGTGTCTGACACTATTGTGACTTGAGCTGCCCACTACACCGTCGTTTTTTTAATCATGCATGCATAACACCAGTAAAAAAAACGCTTTTACAAAGGCTGAATGGCTTCAGTGGTCCAATATATGTAGAAAAATGTGTCTCAGTAGCATTAGTGCAAACAGGCGGACCTCAGTGAGAAAGACCAGTGCAATCATGTATGATCTGTGATGGACAGCACACTGTAACATAATACTACTGACTCAGTGCTTTTGTCAGTTCTCATTAGATGTACATATCATACACATGAGTGATTTTGCAGCAGAGGGAAGAATGTATAACGAAAACTGACACAAGTATTCGAACAGTGCTGTGCAGCCTTCACACGGCTCTTTTATACATCTGAACATATTAAATACGAGCTAAAACAATTAGTTGATTAATCAATGAACAGAAAATAAACTGTTTTAATAATTGAGTCATTTCAAAAAAAAGAAAAAAACCTGACCAAAAATCCTCAGCTACAATTAGTTATGAGAACTGGCAGAATTGTGGTCTTAAAAAGCACCAGTATATGAATACTCAATCAGAACAACTTCGACATGTTGAAGTTTAATATAGCTCGACCCACTTTTGTTTTAAGAGAGAGAAAAGCAGCCTTCTCAGATGTCTACACTCGGTCCCCTGGGCTAACCAATTTTTCATCTTTATCTTGTACACACACGCTGACACAGCAGACCTGGAGTGCACTCGCTCAGTAGCGCAGTACAGTTACTTTGGTCCACATTGCCAAAAGCCAGAGTTACAGACCTCATTCTGCGAGGCTGGCTCTACGGCTCTCCTTGGCCTTCATTTAGCCCAGACTCAGAACACAATGTGCCAAATGTTCCCTCTGGGCGTAGGTGATTATTTACCATGCTGGCACATAGATGGACCTTTTCCAGACGTTGCTCACACTCTACTTTAGATATTATAGCTGTGGGAACCATAGCTACAATATTATGATACCGCTATCACGGTGCAATTCTGCAACACTGACAGCCGAATGATACCGTCTCCCCTGGTGAAATATTTAATTATCTGACTAATTACATCGGGACGACACTGGGAGTGTATGTGCAGACGCTCAAACAGTAAAACCTGCACACGATTTATTCGATGACTAATGTATTACAGAGTGAAGATCTTCTGTATTTGCACTGCAGTGTGTTTACTGTATGGAATTGTCGGTTGAAAAGATTGATGTGTTTGGAGGAGTTGAGTGGAGAGTGGAAGCATGAGCACTGACACACTATTGTATAAATACATTTGAATTCCAGAAGGGTTTGTATCAAGTGAAGCACATAGCTTCACAAAAAGGGACAACAAAAAAAAAAAAACAGCCTCTACCTACCCCAAATAGCCATGAAGATGGCAAAGAACACAGTGCCGCCATTATCAAACAGATGGGTCACCTAGAAACACAAGCACAAGACGGGCTGCTCTGAGAAAATGCTTCATTAAATAGTAGCTTCACAGATGAAACTGAATTACGACATGGATTTATTTTTAATTTCAACAGCTTGAGTTTGGGGTCTCACTTGAGACATTTCTAACAGGAATAGTTTGGCATTTTAGCAAATAAGCTTATTTGCTTTTTTGCCAAGAGTTAGATGAGAAGATTGATTCCAATCTCGAGTCTGCACGATAAATATGAAGCTACATCCTGCAGCCAGTTACTGGAAACAGGGAGAAACAGCTAGCCTGGCTCTGTCCCCCGAATACATCTGGCTAATAGCGCCTCTAAAGCTCACTAATTAACACGTTGGATCTGGTTTATTTAATCTGTACAAAAATTGTAACAATGTAAAAATGTTGTAGTGTAAAAATGATAAATAATATTAAAAATGGGGGTTTTACCCTTAGACAGAGCCAGCAAGCTGGTGTTTCCAGTCTTTGTGCTCGGCTAACCTAACCGGCTGCTGGCTGCACCTACATAAAGTAGTTCAGTAGGGATGAATTGATCCGATACTGATATTGAGGGGATACTAACTCAAGTAGTCTGTTCAACCAAATTCTATGTTTGCGTCTGATTACACATGTGCGTATTACGTCATGTGTCAGCAGCACGCCAGTAGACCGCACAGCTGAAGGAGCAATCAAGAAACATGTCAACTGTTTGGAGGCATCTCTCTCTTGCTACACCAAGTTCTACGATTACTTGCAATATCTGGATTGCCAATGTTTTTACCAATATGTTGCTGCATTTAAAAGGTTTGCACTTCCATTATAATTTCTGTTAATTTAAGATTTCTTCTACCAATTTACTGGTGTACGATATATTATTTAATAATAAATAATAATTCACTAAATCTATATCTATGTATTTATTCGTTACATTTTCTTTTAAAAAGTCAGGAAAGCAATGTTAAATCAAGCCTGATGTTGCCTTACACATAAAAGAATGATCGCAGTCACTTAAACACAGCTTATTAATTAAACACTCTAACATGAATACCAGAACTGCACTGACCTTCGCGTGGACACAACTGTCACTAAGATTCCACGGCTCACAGGAGTCCTGTATAGAACACATGACGGTGGTGCCGGCTTCACAAATCTCTTTACTGGTGAGAGAATGAATCAGGAAAGCAACAATCAAGAATATACATGTTTTAAAATACACATTCTGCATTCTATCAATTCAAAGGAGCATTTGCATCTTATATGGTACTCAGCCGATTGTGTGAACTTACCTGACTTGGCTGGAGTCCATAGTGAAGAGACCATAAAGGAAGACAAAAACGCCGACGAGGGCGGCAGGGATCAACATGCCGGTGTACCAGCCCAACCACGCAAAGTAAAGACCGATTTTCTCACCAAAGTACCGCCTGGGAAAGAGACGGAGAGACAGTGTGGTCAATATTCACCAATGAACTGTTAATTGAACCTGACCATATATACTTGTGTGTGTAGTTAGTGTACTGTGAGGTGGTTGTAGTAGCCTAATGGAGAGAGAGGCTGCTGGGCTGACAAGGCACACATATAATTACACGGTATAATGCTGTGGTGGGAAATTAATCAACTGTAACTTCTCTGCCTTCTAAACCACAGCTGTCAGGGTGCCCTTGAGCAAGACACTTATTCCACAACTGCTCCAGTAAATCAGCTCAGTGGCAATTAGCTGGATCAGGCAACTGCCAAGTGTTTATTGAATTCTTTATCAACATTCAAGGACATGGTTGAGGAAAATAGAGTAGGTATGTGTAGATGCACACTAGTATTCCAGTAGTGGTTCCTGGTTTTAAGGATCAGGGCTGATACACACTTGGTTTATCACTACGAGCGAGCTCTTTCACACTGCTTTCACATTGTCCTTTGATAGATTGTCATTGTAAAAATATTGATTATAGCCACTGTTAAAGGGATCGCTACCTTAGTGTGAACAGTTCCATGTCTGATGGCTGACAAATTCATATCATATCAGGAGGCAATTAGCCTAGCTTAGCATACGAGTTGGATTCAGCAATGTACTTTGCACAAGTGGTATCAATTTTCTCATCCAACTCTTGACGAGAACGTGAATAACTGTATTTCCCAAAATGTCAAATTATTCCTTGTCGGTCTAATGGGAAGATTAAAACACAGAGGTGCACAGAAAGCCAGCTAAACAGTTAAAGTTAAAGGTGCACGTCACAAGATTGAGAGCATTTCTATTGGCTCTCAACTTGGCGACGCGGCTCACAGCTAACGGTCGTAACAGTGCTTAAAGTGCAAACTACGGCAAAAGTGCTGACAGTGCTAACGGTGTTTACCTGAAGTAAAAACGAAGGGTGGGTGCTACCCTTCCACGACGACGCTGTCGGTTGGGATGGTGTTGTCAGCTGTAACCACCATATAAGAGCAGTGCAGAGCTGTGGCTATGTGCTACCCAGTGGGACACGCTCGCACGCTTACATGTACTAAAAGCATGCACGGCCGGGCTAGGAGCTCGGATAACAACACGCACAGACACAACTTCATTATCTGCACAGGTAGACTTTACTCCACTATATATTTACATAACAAATAGCAGTTTGTTGCTATATTAATGCTCTGAATGTCGTATATCCTTCAGTCCAGACATACCAGGGTGTCGGGGAACAATACACAAGCCTGTTCAGGCAGCAGACTGTGATCAGATACCTGGATATCTTTATAATCAACTGAGACTATTCAAGCAAGACAGAACAAAGCTCATCACCAGGACACGAGAGCTCATGTTAGTGTCCAACAACAGCTCATGATGCTGTATTGCTTACCTGATGAGGTCCAGAGGCTGGTATTTGTACCACATTCCCCAACGGGCCCAGCGCTCATACAGAAGATGCCTGTGGTTCTGGGCACCGTGCGTCTTAATCGGGTGTCTGCTCTTGTAACCACCCTGATGAGATAAAGAGAAGGAAACTCTTCATTGCAGAAGGAATTTTACAGTTTGTAAATCCCTACAGTTTTTCAACACAACAAAAAATCATCTCACCTCATGAGGAGGAAACGCAGCCTCATATGTGTTGTTGCCCAATAACCGGTTGATACCTACAGTAGAATAAACCGTGTCACGTTAAAGGATGCAGCCAGTAAAGCACAAGGACGCCACATTCAAAATTCAGTAGCAGTCATGACTGAGAGAGGGGTCCAATGAGATATTCATTTAAACCCACTTTTCCACAGTCATAACAATTTACTGCATTATGTAACTGACAAGCTGCATTCAACAAGCCCATTAGAGGCTTATAACACTCAGGTTAGAATTTCAAATAGCTGCAAACATTTTTGCTGGACCATAATTGCTTGGTGTAAAATTACTCAATGCCATAAACTGACTGAATTGACTGCAGCTACTTTACTGTATGAGGCAGTAGTGAATGAAATGTTATGTATCACAGGACAATAGTGCATTCATTTGCATTGTCATCCCCTGACTGAAACTATAGATAGTGAGAGCACAAGCAGGGAGGGGGTGGATCTGAAAAAGATTTTCCACTCTTGTGACGGAGCTGATCTTATAAAATATTAATATGAAATCCGTTCCAGCCCTTCAAAGGCCAAACTTTAATCAGCAAAACATGTCTGTGACAGTCAGACAAGACAGTAGATGTGGGAGTGGACGGGCAGTTTGGTAAGAAAAACAACAGCTAGAAAGGATAGGAGGGATCAGCCACAAGTTGGACAACACCAACAGCTCAGCGGGAGGAGAGGAGAAAGCAGCTAGCGTGGTGCCTTACCCATCTTTGGTTTTCCATCCTCATACTTGGTGCGCTGTAGCACATGATGAACTATCCTGCTTCTGGTGGAATTGGAGAAGAAGGTCCCTATATTGTTGATAGTGAAGCTGGAAATTGACGGCACACTCCTTCAGTTATTCATCATGTAACAATCGATATCATCCAGTCACAGCTGGTAATGAGAGCTGAGCCCATAACCATGCAAAGCTCATTACAACTTAATCTGTGGTGTGAGGTTTGTGTTCATTCCAGCATCGTTATTTTAAAAAGAAGCATCAAGGCTGACAAGCGAAGGAAAAGGGGAAATGATTCACAAACAAATGAGATTAGATGAGGCCTTTCATCAAAGTTTCATCAAAATGAAAAATAATAAAACAGGTAGAAACGGTGGAGAAAAATAATTTAATGAGAATCTGCTGCTGTATTTCAATATCTTATTTATGATCAGCTTGTCTTTATCGTTCTGAGTTCTGACTCAAAGCTATAAAATATACAAGACAGCCGGTTTCTAAATTCCACATCCCGAGCTCAGGACATGAATGGATGTAATGGATAAGAAGGGGACTACGGATACAGAGCAGGCAAATATCATCTAACACTACTGGTACAGATGCTGTCCTTATGCGACACTCCGATCATGTGCGAAAGTTTCTGTGATGGCATGAATGACTGAGTGCATGTCCTCCTTACTGATGCATACGAACTCTGCTGAAGGGGGCTGTGTAGCAGTCGGTTTCCTCCAGGTCAGGCAAGGCCTCTTTGTCCAACTTCATGGGATTTCGGGGAAGCCAGCTTTTTATCTGACGACATCTCAGATGAAATCTGCTGCACGGATGTACAGAGAAAACAGGATTAACAGCACAGATTAACATGAAGATTGTTTTCTTTGATGTGGAACAGTGGCTCCTAACCTTTTGTCCCCCCCCCCCCCAACACAACCCTGACAAGCTCGCACCGCCTCACACCCACTAAAATGCACATGTATGTACACGCACGTATTGAAAGCATCGTGACTCAAGAGCCTGAGAGTCACTGATCCAGGATAATAGCTTGCTAAATTAAATTTAAAGGATAATACACTTTTTTTGATACTCTAGTCATGATTTAGTCTGCAGCCATGTGAGGCTTTACTTACACCGTAAAACCGAACAGGTCCCAATACTCAAAACCTTTGTGGAAACTGATTACGTCAAAATATTTAAGTCAACTAACCTAATTTTGTAAGTAAGTTTGGTTATTAGCACTAAACACTAAGTACAGCGGGGGCTGATGGGAATGTCATTCATTTGCAGGGGTTTGGTCACAAACCAAAGTGTTGTACAAATTAAAATTTTGACTTGATGAAAATATAAGAGATCACCAAAGTTATTACAGTTCATCCTGCAGGGAACATGAATGTCTATACCACATTTCAAAGAACACACGAGTCCAAAAAGTATCTACCCTCTGGGTACCATTATTGTGTGTACAAAATGTCATGGCAATCCATCTACTAGTTGTGGAGATATTTCAGTTTGGAACAACGGAGTCTGATGCACCAACCAACAGACCAACATTAACATCCCGAGAGCTAAACATCACTTGACTGGGTCATATTTTTCCACTGCTTCTCCAGATTTAGTGGAGAGGTCTAATTTGTCAGGCTGTGCTCTGATATGGATTAAATAAATATAAATGAGAATTCTGGGTGCAAACAGAGAGCATTTTATGAATGTTGTTGTGAAGGGGACAGGTACTGTACAGAAAGTAATGATATCAACCCAGCACGCTGTCACTACCTGCACACGGTCCATTTGTTCAGCTTCACAGGGACGTGAGTTAGTGACGGACCATTAGTAAACACTTAAAGCCTATTTTTCCTTTTAGAGCAACAGCTTAGTGACTGCAGGAGCTCGGAGGAAACCATAATGCTCCTCATTGTTCACAATGACTAAGATCACTTTCACGAAAGTGCTTTGTTCTCAGTTGGACAGGTGGGCGAGTGATTCTTGTTTGTGTGAATTTCGTCTGCTCTGTGTGTGTGTAGGTGTGTGTGTCATCCAAGCATGACCATTAAAATGTGCGTATGATACTGTCTGTCAAAGTGAAATAACAATATTACCAATATTTAATATTATCCATGTTGTCAACTTCTTCAACTTGTCTACTCCATAATGTATTTGTGATAAATAGTTTATTGATAGAGTATATTAATCTGCATGGTTAAGTATCATAAAACACAATTACACATTTATTATAGTTACTTTGTCAGGTCCCACCTATCATGGTTATTATCATCAATAAGCAATGGGTGGAAGCAATATGAGTCACACCATGTTTTCAAAGCTTTACAAGGGCTCAAGTTTACACATTAACGTCATGGCTGTGGCTTAATAATCATTTCCATTACCTTTCATTACTGGAATAATGCTGGGAAATTCATCAACTACAGGTTTAAAGCCCCTCAAATCGTGGTTTATATCAAATATATTTATCTATAATAGTAAATACTGATGACTAAATAAGCAACGCATTCTTGGATGTTTTGTATTAAGAGTTTTGCAGTCATAAACTCCGCTAATCTGCCTTATCAGGACAGTGTGGGTGTGTTTTAGCAAAACAAAAGAATCTGAATGATATCCAAAACCTGCTCTAAATTTGACAGAAAATGCTGCGTTCATGTAGGATCAGCATCACCCACAGTAAAATCTTAATTGAGTAAATGTTAAGACATTTTTTTTCGGGCCTTTAAAGCAAAAGAGACTTTTGAATAAAAAAAAAAAAAAAGAAAGTATTTAGAATTTAAATACATACGTATGTTAATGAAAGGTCTTTTAAACAAAACATGCTGATATAAACTTATTTCCTTGATTTGCTGTTAGACTGTTTGCATCTGCATTCCAGTGAGATTAAGAGATGGAAATGTGGAGTCCTGTGCAGAGCTTGGTAAACTCTTGAACATCACATCAAAGCGCAAGTGCGTCTCTCTAAAAATAGTATGCTAATCAGCCTGTGCAGCTCCATTTATTTGACTGAAAGATTACAGGTTTTTCATAGAAAAGCACTGTCAATGCTACAGTATTGTACTCTTAACAATGTGCCTGACTTGCAGGATTCTGTGCTTTTTTTAAAAGGTTGGAAAGTTTAATTAATCAAGTACATTTAAACAAACAGTGTAACAGTGAACTGCACTTGATTACTGACTTTTTAACGAATTTCCAGTTATTGCTACTTTTCAGTGCTGCACATGGTGGGTGACTTTTTAATTTAAAAATATAATCCAAGACTTTATACATACCGTTTATTTACTCACGGTCTGTGTAAAGGGTTGATCAATCCTGGATTAATTAATGCTCATTCAGCGGTTGGGTTCAAAAGGACAACGACGGTTTCATTTAAACATTCTCTTCTGAGGTGACTGATAACTTAAATATTGAAACACCATCCACAGCTCACATCACGACTCAAGCCTCGCAGCTTTGCCACTCACGTATTTCATTAGAGGCACTGAAGCATCCAGCTTCCTGCCCCCACAGAGCAACAGAGAAAAACATTCCTGTACCCTAAATCTACTTACCTGCCCAAGGTTTTGCTCTTCCAGTCCGTAAAGTAACATTTTTTCCTTAAAGAATAAAAAAAAAGACATGTTAGGGAGTCGCCAGCCACTGAAAAAGAACTGAGAGTTAAAGCCTCAATCTTTTTCTCTATCTACGGTTACCTGAAAGGCATTCGGATGTTCATCTGCTCTGCGTATTTGCAAAGCGTATCCCAAGGAGCGTGGACCTTCACAAACATGATGTCGTTGTTTGTCAACGAGGGCTTTCAGATCAAAAAGAAAAACAGGGGTTTGAGAACTGAATTGAGGAATCAAGGAAATGTAAGTCTTCTAAAACCAAACATGTTTCTTTACCTCCTTCTCCAGCATTAGCCCCTCAGCACGTAGATTCTTCTCAAAGGTGCACCTCTTTTCCACCTGTAGACTGGACTTCTTGTAAACCAGAATGTAGTCAATACGCTTTTTCCCATCTCGGAAAAACAGTCCAGAGGACCCCGCTCGATTCTTTCCCTGTACACAATGTTTTATACTTGAATTTGAGATGTAGGGATGATAAACACAGGCCTGCTAATGTTTGAAGCTTCTCAGTGATAAAATAACTACGGTGTAACAGTATGAACAGTCATGGTAATAATTGTAGATTAGTGGGAGCGTGTTACCTGAAGTGAATCTGTGCGGGCCTCTACTTTAGCCCGGGTGACAGGCTTTTGGAGCGGGACTGACTCGTCTGCCCTTGTTTCACACGTAGTCACCTCCGACTCCTCCACGTACTGATCCTTTCCTTCCTCTGCTGCACACAGACACAGCAAAGACAATGAGACGGTTATTGAACTGGTAACGCACCAAAAAAAGGATCCTATCTGCATCGAGTCTTCTGTTGCTGGTCAAGTCAATATTTTCCTTAATCCAATTGCCAACATTGAAATAAGCTAAATCACAGTTAGTTAAATGTGGGCGCCAGCTTGAGAGCGACACCTTGATGCAATTTAACAGATCCATGCAGCGATTTTGAAAGAGGGCCAATCCTGTTTCCTTCCTTCCTGAATCTTTTTTTCATCCCACTGATGTGCACAAAGAAAATAAAGTTTTGTTAAACCCACACTGTAAAGAAAGACATAAATGCAGAATGTACTAAGAAATAACTTTCTAGATGCTCAGAGTTTTGAAACCTTATCAGACTGCCTGTCTTTGCAACAAACGTCTGCCCAATTGACGAGCCACACAACATATGGAGGCTTTTCTATTATCAACGTGGTACAGAATGTATATATCTTTTGTGAGGAGGAAAGTTGATTTAGTGGGTATAACAATCCATCTCACTCATGTCTAAATCTCATAATACATGCATATTGCATGTATTGGCATGATAGTCTACACCCCATAGCTATATGGAGATTCACTTCACAGCACGGCATGTTATGTGACAGCTTGGCTCATTTCTCTGGTCAAATGAGCCTAATTCATCGCCAGTAAGCTTGCTGTTTCTACATTTAGAAGATCTTTATAGTGCTGTGCTGAAATCAGGTGTAAAAAATCTAAATCATTCAAACAATATCAGTAACTAACATTTTATATTATGGCAAATATGTGTGGGGAAAAAAAAGCTTTATTCGCTTTTTTCTTAGCACTTCAGTTAAACCACGGAAGCACCAAGACTTAACAGCTTCATTTAGTAACTGAAGTTAATTTCGAGCCTCTAGATAACAATGTGTTTTAGTACCTGTTAGAACATTATTGGGCCTTGGACAGAAAGTTTTAATGCAAAATCACTAGCTGTGATGTTTCTTTAGTTTTATTTTAATCAGCATTTTCCTTGATCCAGGCTGGGATTAAGAGAATGCTGTCCTATCGTCTGTCTATCTGGAGATCACAACTGATAATCTTCACAATAGCTAAATCGCCACAGAATAGTGAAAAGTCACAATAGTAGCTTGCTATTAATGTCATTACAATAAAGTCGAAGACTATATCTATTAATCACCACAAATAATCCAGAATATCAGAATTAACGATGAAAAACCATTTAATTCCGCACAACTAATATGAAAAGTGCACAGCTTTAGTCCAGGAAGTTGTGAGCAACTGCAGTGATGTGTCTTGTTTTCAGACATCAATGTGCATTTCCTCCACACTGAAAGCCAACACAATCCATTTGTATTTGGTAATAAAAGTGTCAAAAAAATGACAAAGAACTTTTGGCAACATGAGGCGCTGTAAAGAACCCAAAGCAGTCTGAATTTACGCTGCTGGATCGTGCTGTATTTTCACACAGTAAGGAGCCATGCAATGTGAATTTATTGAAGCATTCTCAGTTTACAGTGTGTAATAACATAATTGTAGGCTACAGTTAATCTAGTACAATAATAGTAAAACTAAACTTGTGTCACATTTTGGGTTAACTCTTCAGCAGAAGTGTATCCAGCTTAGTTAAACCAATCAAAACACATCTATCGGTGCAGACAGGTGGGAAGCTGGTTGGTCTGTTTTCACTCTCTCCTTCTGTCTGCACCTCTTTTTCAGGGCAAGAGAAAACCTGTTCCTCAGATGTCTATTCTCAGCACAATGACAAAGAGCCAGGCTTCACCAAAATAGCAACACTTCACCTTGTGCTACCTAATCTGCATGAAACTGCATCTCCATTATTCTGCACACCGCACTCAGCAGCGAAATACCAAAGGGTTGGGCAAAGGCTGTCTCAAGGTGATGAAAATACCAACATGTGGAAGGGCTGCATGCGCTAGAGCCCTCACTGTCAATGGCCTTTGAATAGTCTTGAAGATATTAATACGACTGAATAATCTTCCCTCTCCAACAGGCATTTGGTTTCGTAGTCCATACTTTGAGGTTTTGTTTCCTTGCAACGGCTTTCCCCCACACTTTCACTGCCTCTGAAAGTGCATCAGATGCACGTGACTGCGTTTTATAAATCCTCTGCAGCATTATCACAATCTGCTAAATCAGTACTGTGCACGTGCCGTAAATGTCACCAACATCATGGCAATCTGTGTTGCAACCAACTCTGTTCCTGTTGAGCATATCAACAATACAGTTTGTGCAGAGTATGGCGCGAATGATGAAACACGGCATACAGACAAAATAAACAGTTTGCATCACAGACACAATGTTTATTTCCTGAAGGCGTCCTTGTAGGTAAACAGAGTAGAAAACACATCATGAAAAACACATCATGGAAAAGAACTTCAACTTTGGAATGACCACATTACTGCTGCGTACAAAGCTGATTCATATATAAGTTTATCAGTGATGCAAACTCACGACTGAAGCATCTTATCCACTAACAGATTTAGAAAGACGTCAGTTGGTTCCTCTCACACTGACCTGTCTGCGGGTGCAGGAGGCTGCAGGAGGTGCTGATGCTCTGACTCAGACCCTGGACTTCTGGTTTGGGCTCCGGGCTCAGCGGCACAGACAGGAAGTGGTTGAGGTTGGTTGGATGAGTCTGACTCTGGGCCAGGCAGGGGAGGCTGCGGCGAGACGGCTTCAGGCTCTTCTCCTTCAGGATCTCGCTGATGCTGGTGTGCATGCCTGAGGACGACAGGGACGGAGGAAGGTCATTTTAAAAATCTTTAGAGGAAAATAAAATCCTGTGAAAAAAAATATATACACATTTATACATTTATATGTCTGCATGCTTTCACTGAAAAATAAAACACATACAAATATAATTTAGTCAGAGACACTTGCACTAAGGGATGGATTGGATTGGGCTCTGCTCTTTGGTGAAACTCCGCTGAAGTCCGCAATATAAAAACATTTATTACACAAGGTGGAGGTTGGGGTAGCGCTGCGACCTACGGCAGCAAATGGCATTGATGCCATAAAGGTATCAGCAGACTAGTCAGGAAGAAGTGTCAGGTCATTACAGCTGCATGAGTATGACTGGACGTCACTAGTCAGCTGGTGGCCACACAGGAGATGAATGAGCCAGTGATAGGGAAGCATGAAAGGGCCGCAGCACACGTTTGTTTTAGGCAGTACTCTATTATGTATCTGTATTATGTATAATATAACAACCATGATGATGTCTTCAAGCTCGTCTACGACAACACATTCAGAACAGAAAACCCAAACAAACTGAGGCATTTTGAATCGTGTTCCTTACGAAGCTAACAGTCAGGATGTCTCAGCCTCTGCTGCATTCATTTTGACCATTCTTTTAAAAAGCTTGCTCGTGAGCCAACTTTATGAAAGTGAAACACTAAATCACTGGAGTACCACTCGAAGCAGCTGATGCCAATAAGCTAATGCAAGTGCGACAGCACTTTAATGCAAGGCTCCAATATTTATGCACTTATACAGAAGTTACATAATATTATAAATACTCAATACATTTAATTTAAATACTTAATAAATTAAAAATGTTAATCAATTTCTTTAGACAAATGTCTACATATGTTATGCGTGGCTTGTTGAAGCTGCAAAAGCAAAAAGTATTTCTCGACGAGAAATACTTTTTACTATGTATACTATATATATTTTTATCTTATCTTGCAAAATATAACAACAAACAAAAAAAATTGAAAACTGAAAAATGACTGAATCGTCAGCAGAAGGGAGAAAAATAAATTGAAAGAAGACTTTTCTACGATCTAATGCATGAACTGATAAGAAGAGAGTGAGTGGAAAAAAGGGAGGGAGAAATCACATCAGTCAGCAACTGGTCCATCCTTTTATGGGCTACAGTGGTGATAATGTGCATTAAAACCAGCAGCACTCCATCATCACACGGCTCAATATCCCAAGAAAAGCTGCATGATGCTGCAACCAATTTCACAAAGATGCATGTAGTAACAGCATTCATGCACGCTGCTAGCTTTCTTATTAGCAAGTCATTTTGTATTAATACCAGCAGGTTATACCAAGGTTATTTCAGCAGTAAAAACAATATGGTGATAGTGGGGCTGACTGATTGCTGAATGACTAATTTAACAATGCTGTAATGATGTATTGTAACGAGAAACTCTGAGGTTAACAACGATAATGAACATCCAGTGCTTGAAGCAGGTCATTGAAGCCAACCGTCACAGCAGGCAGCAGCTCAACCTCTGCAGCTCCTCACATGTATTCATGAAATGGTAACGTGACTTAGTTTCACCTCCAGTGAGGAATTCTCCCAGTGACCTTCCTGAAACGTTCCGCTGCACTGATGATTCACACTCCGCATCCTGAGGGCCTGCGCTGCAAGCTGTGCAATAACTCAGTCTCATGACATTGATACCGATGGGATTTCCCAGCGCTGTTGGGTGAGAAGGGAGCCAGTTGCAGATGTGAGCTGGAAGGCTCAGGGGAACCACTGATCACGCCGTTTATTTCCTGTGCAGCCCCACAGATATGAAATGAATGAAAGTTGTGAGCTCCAGCTAAGAGCTACACAACGAATTATTGAGAAAAGGAAAACTGTAGAAATCTTGATGTGTAAAGTAAATTCAACCTGCAGTTGGATTTCACTCTACTCAGGAGACAGATTCAGAAAAAAAAGTTTGAAATAAAAGTATTTTAAATATAAAAGTACGATTACTCAGCACAAATGAAGACAAGCGTAAACTTTAAATGAAGCAATCTCTCCATGTAAGAAAGTTAATTTCTCCTCAGGCCAATAACAAAGCTTGATTTCCCAGTGCTTTAATTATTTCTACTCACAAGCATTCAGTCCCCCTTCATTGCTTTTCACAACTCAATCAATGTCATTGAATACCGTACTTCCAATCAATACTGAGCTGCAGGTTGTCAAGCTATCAGAGAGTCATATTGTGCCAATTAGATCTGCAACGACATCTTAGAAACCAGAGATGTCATGGTCCAGTGAGCAAGGTTTGTTTCTCCCAGCAACAACATGCTTTATGACTGGCTGGAAAATCCAAGCGAGCTTCCACTCAAGAGGCCAGAAGCCTAAAGTGCCATCACTTCACAGCCTCTGCATCGTCTCCTCAGACCAATTCACATGCTTATTTAATATACCTGCCTACTTTCTCTCTATTATGCTGATCGATACATAGAGAATGGCTGTTGTGTATATAAAAAAGGTACATTTACTGGACGCTAGCCGGTCTAGATAATCCCAACAGACATTGGCAAGGCTCAACATGTCTGAGATAAGACATAGGAGCAGAGCCAGCTAATGGGCCTGTAGGGGTGAGGCTCGGTGGTCCCAAAGGACTCTCAGACTTTAAAATAAACCCACAAATTGGACGGAGTTGGTATTGTGTGAAATTGCTTCCATGGAAATTTCAGAGTAGGTGAATACTACAAGTAAATTTACTAGTCAAATCTCTCAGCCTCAATGGATATTAAGGATATAATAATGGTTATCTGACAATCACTGCCCTGTTGCAAAGCTTTAGCTTAGTTTTCTGATGCTGGTAGACCCTGAACTTTGTCCTACAGTCAGAGCAGCTCTGCTGTACATTGTAAAGACAGTGCATTGTGTGTGTATATAAAAAATATATAAAGCCTTCATCTAATGTGAAATCCTGTGTTTAATCTCGCTGTGCTCTGGCTAAAACTGGTTTATCAGGAGAAAGTTAATCCTGTGTGTGTGTGTGTGTGCATGGCCTGCATGTGCATGTGTGTGTGTGCCAGTTGGTATGCTAGTCTGTGGGCTGATACTGAGTCCTGCACAGAGAGCATCCATAGAGAGGAGGGATGCAGGAAAGCAATAAAAAAAAGTAATGGATCAAGAGGCCCAGGGAGTGGACACCCGCTGTGAGGTGGTGAGGGAAAAAACACCTCCGTCATCAGCATGACACGGGGACATGGCGACCATCCCTGTGTGTGCTCTCACAAATGCCCACTCAGGCTCATCCAAGGGGGAGTTGGACGAGATTCAGGGAAGGTCGTGATCCGGGATTTGGATCCCTCCTGTGCAGCTTGTCCATGCTGGTCTTGTGATTCGAGATTAGGAGGATTTTTGATTGGTCCGTGCATGTGTGTGGGTATGATATATCATTGTGACTGTATACCCGTCTACAAATGATTCTGCTCGGGACAAAGAACTGTCCAATATGTGTAAAAACAATTTTTTTTTTTTACTTTTAGCCGAAATTTAAGAATCGAGACAGTGTCTGCAAGGATGTAGTGCAAAGTAGCAAGCAGAGAAAACAGGTCAGTGGGCTGTTTCCCATCATGCCTCTGTCTTTCCTCATTCTATAGCTTCAATAATTCATCCATGTTCAGCCCATAAAACTTTCAGTCAGCAACACTCTGCATCAGGACCCTTTTAAGCACAACAAACAACGTTAATGCCTTCCCTTTACATAGTGCAAAAAATAAATAAATTA